ATGTGGTTTTTAGTGGGTTCCTGCTGATGGCGGTGTAGCTCACGCTGATTGAGCGCTTCGGAAGGGCAATTGTGGGTGCTAGGGAAAGTGTTGGTGCAGATGCGTTTCCCGAGAAATTTACAACACGCCGCGCCGCGCACCAATTGCCAACCAGCCGGTGGAACGTGAACCACCCCCCCCCCCTCGCGCACGCCCGGGTCCGCGTGTGAACACAGGCTGGTGTTCGTCGTGTCCGACGGTGACCTGGTGGCCTACAAGCGTAAGTTGTGGCTGGCGTCAACGGCGGCGATTGTGGCGGCGGTGGCCGTACTTTCGGTGCTGATCGTCGAGTGCGTCGAGGGCGGCACCTGGAACATGGGTTGGAGTATACGCGGCGGTGCCGGCGCGTTCGTTGGCGGGGGCGGTAGTAGTAGTGGTGTTGGCGGTTTCGACGACGAAACGGCGGCGGTTGGGGATCAAGACCGGTGGGAGGACAACGTGAGCAGTAGTCGCGACTGCGACACAGAGTGGTGTTACTCCCGAAGCCTGCTGGGGTTGTGGGAGTACCTGCTGCTAGCGGTAGAGGCCGGGTTTTGCATGGCTCTGAGGCACGACCTGGCTCCGGCTACGGGCGGCGTCGGGGTGGAGAGCTTCGTGCTGTAAAACACGCTCCGCGCTTTTGTTCAGGCAGATGTCGCTGTTCTTGCTCCGTGGGTTGCGACAGAGCCGTTCGCGCCCGTTTTCTTCGTTCAGAGCCATGCCCCCGGGTTTCACACAGGCGGCGTTTCAAGTATAGACGAGTATTCTCCGAGTGTCATGCATGGACCTGCACCTTGCTGTCGTGACCTCTAGGCGATAAGTTAGATTTTAATCGAGTCAAGACCTTTGAATGAAGCCGGTGATTGTCTCGAGGGTCAGGTGGTGAGGGATGGACCGGCAGGGTCTTTTTGGGAAAATTGCCGCTGGTGTTCGTTGTTGCTGTTGCTGTTGAGAAGATTCGGGGTTCGAGGCTGTTCTCTGGGGCCGTGTGAACATTGTCAACCACAACATAATGCCATGCACCGTGTAGGCTGGGGCCTGTACCTTACTCTTCTGACGCTCCGCCCGGAATTAGGGAGCGGCATTCTGTCTTCCTTGACCTATGTTTTTGTGTATGAGTGTACGTGTTGGAAGGTTGATCGCCTCCATGCTCGTGCCGGACAAGGGAGATGGTACCTAGAAGCAGCTGTGGGGGCGTCGGTTTGCGTTGTACATTTTACTTGTAGAGATTCATTGCATCTCATGAGGTTCGTGTTTGTAGGGTTAGGGTTGGAGATGGGATGGGATCGGGAGATAACGAGTGGTTTAACGTTCACGGTGCAGAGGGGGGTATTCGTACACATTTGAAAGTAGCTCGCAGAAATTTAACTCCATCGGACGGGATTCGAGAATTTATTCACCACAATATTTTTACATTTCAGAATTTGGAATGAAATTAATTGTGGGTTGAACTGGCGACGTCCAGTCACCGGGGCCTAACACGCCAATAAAGCTACGTGTGTGTTGTACGTGTTCAAGTTCGTCCCCATCTCAGGGTATTGGGCATTCTTCCGTGATTGGAAGACCCCCACATTTGCGCTGTGCTGCAGAAGATCTCGAGCCCTCGCTTTGAACTATGTCGGTCCCTCTATCTCACCATCTCCCGGTCGTAAGTTTGTGTTCATATTTTTGAGATTCGCTGGGCTCTTCGAGTGAGCAACACGTCAGCTGTGTGAGCAGTTGGGCTTGGGAAACGTCGCACCACAGGTGGAAGCCAACTGGGTTGGTCGTGCTCCCTGCTTGTGTTTTCATGTTGCATCACACAGCAGTTGGCGACGTCTGTGCTGCTCGCCTTAGACCGCTCCAGAGGGATCGCTGGGCATGTCTCATCGTTCCGCTGAAATCACAAGTCAATTAATTAGTTCCATTGGTCATGGCCAACGCTGTTGTGCGCACGTCTGCCTCCTACAGTGCAGAAGTATTAATTCGTCTTGGCATCCCATCAATAACGAAGAAAAGCCTTTTCGTGTTGGGGTTCGTTGCCTCTTGCTCTACGTTTCTCTGCGCAATGGCGTTCGCGAGCCTCTATGGCACCGCAAAATAAACATCTGATTGAACCGACGACAAATTGTGGGCTATGACATGGATGGGATGACGGCGGAGACTCCCTACAGGAAACTAGTGAATTCCATTCATAGGTAATGCATGGTTTCGCACACTCAAATTGTAAGTGTCGGGATGGTTGAGATTCTCTACTTATACAGAAAGCAACTGGATATTCGTGCAGACGATTCTCGAACAAGCATTGATTGAATTGTTGGTGTAAAGTGTGGGGGCAACATTTCTACATACATAGTCTAATCGTCCTCTGCCTAGATTTACAAGCGATAGTTAGTTGTCCTACCAAGATTGCGAGCGATATTTAGTCCCACATTGTCAATCTTTGTGGGTCGTGAGCTGCAGGATCTTTTCCCTGAGAACGGGAGACGATTGGGCCCAAACGCTTCCGCCACATCGTGGGGGTGCTGAGTACTCCGCACTGTGGTAAGAGTGTCGCTCTCCGCGCAGGGCGCGTCGGCGGCGGGGGTGCAGACTTGACGGTACATAGGCCGTATGCACAGATTGCGCGCGCTTCAGAAAGCAAAGGTGATAATGATATCGGTGGGAGAGGGCAGCAGAAGGGCGTACCCGCCGGGCACATGGCCGTGGCGAAGGATATACCACTGATGCTCGATTCCCAACACAATCGCGGGGCTGACCTTTCAGCGTATGTATCGTGTGACATTTATTCATGCGTAGGAAGCACGTTTGTTTGCAACGGCCGTGGCTACAGATGAATATTGACGATGGGACATATATAAAGAATCGAAGTGCTCGATACTGGTGTGCTTTCGCAAGAGCTGCATGTAGGCGCTCGAGCTGCTCGCGTAGATTGTAAACACCTTACTTGATGTTATACTGTCGCAGACTGATACATGAATGTGTCCTGTTGGTGCAGAAAATTGGGACCCTCCGAGCAGACCGGCAACTAATGTATGAGGGAGTGAGTACCTTTGCTTTGAAACAATGGAGTCACACGTACGTGCTTTTCTCGATCCCTCGCTAGTGGACGTTGATGTACCATACGGAGGGCAGGCCTCCGCGTATCGAGATGCCTGCTGTTACCCCCGATGTCACTTCCGTCTTTCAAGTCTTCTAGCTGAGTTATTCGCTAGAACGCTCGCCGCGTTTGCCAACAGAATACCAGAAGGAATATTTTTTGTTCTCATTGTTACGCAAGGACCCCTGCCCTCTCTCGACAACCCCTCCCACACACATTCATCCTCCTCCTTCTTTCCGAATTTGCTCCGGACAACTCCAAACTCTTCGAACTCGTCTTTGGGTAATCGACAAACAGGATGGTTAACTTCACTGCTGCTTTCGCGATGGCATCCTTGGTCTCCCTCGCCAACGCCTCCGGCAAGGATTACAACACCGTGCCCTTCAAGGTGATCGAAGACAACACATCATCGAATGAATGCATGTGACGGACGACACCATGTGCCCCCTCTTGCACTTGCTCAACAAGCGGAGTTCGTCCCGCCCCCACCCCGTCTGGGGCGTAGACTAACATGATGCATTCACGGGTGATGGTCGCTCTGTTACTAGCAATGCTCTCCGGTGCCGCGTTCTTGTGGTGTCGGCCATTTTCCCTAATGCCACGCCTCATGCGCATTTGCACCCGAGGACCCTCCTGTAGTGTATCCGCCTCCTGGGTAAAAAAAACGGAACTTCTCGAACTCCGGTGTTGCTGTATCCTCACGTCTCACTTGCAGGTTCGCGTGAGGAATCTGACCTACCTCCAGCCCTTCTCGCCCCCGCTCATTGTGGCGCATACCAAGGTGAAATTCGGTACATAGTCTACATGTATTCCTATGTATGCATGTAAAGTGTGACAATTAATTCATGAACTGACCTACCATATTTCTTGCGAGGAGTTCGCCTACAATGCATACCACCCGAAAGTTATGGCTGTCTACACCGCATGATGAACAACAGCAGTGGTGTTGAAGTTGAAGGTTGCTTGTCGTCCCTCTTGTGTTGGTGTTGTTCCCGTTCCTCTGGCATGCTTGTGTCTGCATGGAAGGATTCCGGCCAAGTACAACGCAAAAACCAAAATATCGGAAGAGGAGTCCTTGGGTTTACGCGCGCGGGCATTCTATTAGGAAACATAAATACAAACACAGAAAGACTACCTACTCGAGATATGATCACCGTCGAACGGGATGCTTTGAAGTCTTTACAGTGAATGGAGGGAAACCGGCTAGGTACTGGGCAATTTTATGTTGTCGATTCCTTCGACAGAATATTTTCTGCGTTCATCAGGTCCATCAATAGTCGACTGTTATTTTCTCTCGGTGGACCGGCACGAGCGGACGCCTTACTTGTTCTTCGCTTACACTGGGATGAGCGGTCGTGTCATGCCCGTGGTGCGCTGTACAGCAGCAGCGTTGGACCGTCGCGATTTTTTTAGCAGCAGTAGGGAGCGTGGGTTGTGTGACCTAGCGAGGAGTATTGATGGTTGTCTGTCGTTGCTTACAGTTTTCTTCTGGACAGAACCGTCGTCGTCGAAAGGATGCAACAAGAACGACAGTAATGCCCGCACACATTTTTCCACACAGGCTTTGATTGGCTGTGTACGTTTATCTCGTCTGTGCTCTCTACTGTACACTGTACACCACCTTCGAAAAGATACCAAGGATCTCTCACGATATACAACTACTTTACTACATAACGTTGAGTTCAACTGAAATTCCGCCTTTGTTTGCAATGTCCGGTGGAAACGAGACACCACCCCAAAATATGGCGAAAAGTCTCTAGAGGACCAAGGCAAGCTGCCATACCAATAGTCAATGTAGTGAACCAAAGTGTTGGATCGGGAGGGGTCTTCTCACCGCCGGAGACTAATGCACTCACTCTCCTTGGTCGCCTAAACCGCACCGTGAACAACACCAGTGGCGTTGAAGAGCCGTGTCCAGTGGCGTTGAAGAGCCGTGTGATTCACCAGAAGTCTATTTGTTCTTGTGCGGTTCTCGTTCCCCTGGTGGCGTGTTTCATAATTTGCTCTTGTGTGCCAGGACGTTGCACTCTTCAAGGAGGGATTCCCGGCCAACGACGCTATCAAGCTTATGGCGGAGGACGGCGACAACTCTGCTCTGCTGGTAAAGAGACTTTGGAATGACGACCTCCCTGAACTAATGACAGCTACACTTTTTTTCCTGTGGCTGCGTGTTTCCTCCTCGGTCGGCGGGGGCATCCACCGTTCGCTGAATCCCCACGACTTTACACAGATCTCTTGAACATCGTTCCTATCCGTTGCCCAACACAGAGAATCAGCACCACAAGCTACGTTGTACATGAGGCAACAGAGTTAAAACCGCACCGTCTATTGTACATGAACTTTATATCCGCTAAAGAAACTCGGATAAGGCTAACAGTCTGTCCGCATGCTCCCTCACTGTCACTAATGATTTGTGCAGGAACTCTCGGAAAGTAGTGATGTGGCGCCCTACATCTGCGGTGTCGTCGTGGCCGAGGGGCCCGTCTTCCCAGGAGAAACTTGGCGAGGACAGCTCGATGTTGACCCCTATATCTGCCCGAACCCGGTCTACTCAGTGGTGACGATGCTCAGTAAGTGCACCTCTTCAAATGTATCTTGAGCAGTTCTACTGTAGAAACACTGCAAACTCCGATAGACTACATAATGTAGAACGTCCGCATCGCATCAATTCGTTCTCAGTGTTGTAGACAAGACATCAGTGTAGGCATCGTTCTGTTTACATCCCGCCCAAGCGTCCACGGACACTTCCCTTGTCGGCACCGGTTCTTCTCTGGCATGCAGTCTCGTTCACCCATCAAAGAAACGGAAGAGTACATGTACAGTAGATTCACATACACACATGCATCAATTCGTTCTCAGTGTTGTAGACAAGACATCAGTGTAGGCATCGTTCTGTTTACATCCCGCCCAAGCGTCCACGGACACTTCCCTTGTCGGCACCGGTTCTTCTCTGGTATGCAGTCTCGTTCACCCATCAAAGAAACAGAAGAGTACATGTACAGTATTAGATTCACATACACACATGTGTGGCGCGGAATGTGTACGGCGTCAGCCGCGCCCGTACGGATGTCTTCGCGCTTGCGTGCGTACAGTAGATACAGCACAAACGTGCGAGCGTGAATCCGCCCGTACCTTAATCAAAACGAGGCTTCTGCGCTCATAGGACCATTGTACAAGATTGTACGTGTTTGTTGTACAGTACGTAGTGTTTGACTCCTCTGTAGTCCTCAATGTGAAGACGAGACAATATGGAACGAGCTACCATCCCCGCGCGGCCCCCCACATGGCATTGTTTGCAGTCAACACGAACGACGCCTTCGTGGGCATCGACTCTGACACCCTCGAGCTCGGAAGTACCAAGGCCTTCCCACCCGCCTTCGACGCCGGTGAGCAAAATGGAAAGAAAAACAAGCCTTTGCCACTTATTCTTCTCGCTTGCGATTTCACTTGTTTGAAAATACTACGTGTATTTGGAACACGACGACACCGAACTTCACCCCCTCTGTGCTAAGCCTTCTGCAAACCTCACCCAACTCTACACAGGCACTGAGGTCAACGACGAGCGCTGCTCCAACATTCCTGGCCCGGGTTGCCCCGCGGGCAGCGGCAACAACCAGAACGGCCCGGGAGAGGGGTACATCCACGTGCACCGCGGCGTCCACGGAGTCGGGGACCTTGAGGAGGCCAGCTACGACTGGAGGAACCCAGTGGCCGAGATCTATATCCAGAAGCTTTGAATCTGATATGTGTTGCATGTTTGGTGGTGGCCTTATGTAGACTAGTGGCGTGGGCATGCTATTGTCCACTTGCGGTTTCTGTTATTTGTTTGTTGTTTTCATTCCAATGGCGTATTGATCTGCGGTGGTGCAAGTATATAGTTGCTTTACGTCTGTGTCTGAAACATCTGAAAGCAAAATCGACGATAGATGAAGTCTACTGTACAGTCTGATATTTGTTCGGTTAGTACAGCAGTACTATTATTATTTGTACAAATGAGCACGAATGTGTAGACGTGTGCAGCCAATAGCGGGAAAAACCCCGGCGACTGGGGATTTTGCCATTTCGCTGGCATTTCCGGTAGATATGCAGAGGTTTCACGGTTCGGTTATCTAGGCGAAACCGCTCTACAGCGCCAAAAAAATGCTGCCTTCACTTTTGTGGTCTCTCGGTACAGGTCTGAAGCTGCAGCGATTGACGGCTCGCTCCCTCTCCTGTGCACTCGAAGTGTGTTATTCGGGAACGTGTTGGAGGGAGCGTGGGGCTGAGATGCCTCAAGAGGTTTCGTTTACGAGCAAAGCATGTTGATATCCTCCCTCTTGGATTGTGGGCTTGTTTTTGTCTCGCGTTCATCTGTGGCCCCGAGAAAATTCTGTGCACCTTCTGCAGAAGGCGTAGATAGATCGCGTTGACTTTTATGCACGCCGAGATCAAACAAAACAGAAGAATTATCCACCGAAGAGAACCTACGCGGAAGCCGGAACCTTCCGTCAATGCTCCGACATCACGATGCCTACCCGAGGCAATCAACCGCATGGAGTCGAACCTCGAGCACCAGACATGGTCATCTGTCACGGTTTCGCGTCGCGCTCATTTCTCCAACAAAATGCTCTCGCCAACGCGAACGGAAAAACAGTGGCGACTTATCTCGGCTGAGACAATGACCGTACGCAGCAAACAATCAGTCCCCATTGGAAGAACGTTGCATCACGTCGCAAACCATTATTTAGGTACTGCATGGATGCTTGCTGGATTCTTCTACGGATGTCGCGTTCCCCCACAACTCCCAACAAAGCATGTGGGGTGCATTTTGCGCACAACAAAACTTAATGCGGGTCGTCAACATTAGCAATGATTAACATCGTCTCGGGGCAGCGCCTTCTCGAAGAGTCTCCCACGAGCCGGAAACAGTGTGACAGAGCCCATCGTCACTAGTAGAATCCTAGGGCATCGCAGCGCGGGGACCAAGCCCACAAGACCACAAAACAGGACGCCAGCAACAACAGCAGCGTGGCCACGACGGTGTTGGTGGGGTAACAAAAACACGTTTTCAATCCCACTTCCAAGAAAAAAAAACGCGCGTGCTGGTGGCGCGGTTGGAAATAAAATCTCTCACCGCAGGCCACGAAACATCATCAACGAGTACCTGGTACTAATTTGCTGGCCGAAAAACGTACCCCAAACCTTCAATTAAAAAAACGGGCGGGGGAACGTCACATATTTACATACTACATAGGAGCGGCGCAACCCGCCCTACGGCGACATGCGCGTAGGGCATGCCACCAACAGACCCCCATCTCCCTCCGCGGCAAGATTGAAATATCGCGCTCCCTGTTTTGGAATCGTACCGCGCGCGCATCATTCATTTTCCTTAGGCCACACCCACCTTCCTCCAAGCATCCAAATACAACATCAACGGCCAAAACATTATTTTACCACGTGACAGAGCGACTAATCGCGTACCCCCCCCTCCGGCAACCTGAACTCGCGAAACCTCGAGAACGCACTCTACAATCGCGTAATAGAACCCACGGAAATGAGTCGGGAACAATCTGACCCTTGCCCTAGGTGCAATGCACACCCGCCTCGAACGCACGAAATCTTGCCTGGCGCGGGCTATCTATGCTATCCAGCTGCCGCACACCTCCACGAATTCCCCCGTTGTGTTTGTGAAAAACGGAGAGAAACAACAGGCGCGTTGACTGCTGGCGCCTGAAAGCAGTGATTTCTGCCGACCGCCCACCCACCCAATCCCCCCGCTGCGGCTAAATTACAGCCTAGAGTAAATCAACCTCTTGGAGGCCAAGGCAGACAAATCTTCCTCCCTCGGCCTGTATTTCTGTATCTCAAAAGGCCCTCCGTTGGCTACCCAAAACAGCGTGTTTGCCTTGCAAATTAAAAAAAGGAGCTAAGCACGCAATAGTCACCCGCTCGCACTTCGACGAATTAAAGAAAACACGACAGAGGTTAACAAATTCGCAACAATGTGCGGTAATACCGCCGTGATACAATTGTACCCAAACCCTTCCCGGACGCACAGGGCGGGCAAGAACACACCACGTGACGACACCACCCACCGCACAAACAATCTCTTCCAAAATCGCCGCGTGCACAGCTAGCTGTAGCTGTTGCTATTGCATCGCCGGCTCCATGGAGAAGACGTAAATCT